CTCCGACCTGCCTTTGGCTCTTGGGTTCTGCGCAGCTCGGTTCCCAATATCGACAGATTGATCTGGTCCTGGGTCACCCGGAATCGAGAAAACGGGACTTTTGCTGTCCCCCGCGTGTCGAAGAGGCTGCCCAGTCTTCTTCTGCGCTTCAGATCATCCCTTCATTTCCAAAGCGCTGGGGTTCGGCCCCTTACCTTAACGCGTGCCGCCAACCAGGAAGCGGAAGTGCGGACGGGCGCCGCCACGTAATGCGCGCTCTCCGCGCATTTCCTAGCTGGGTTTTCACTTCAGGCCGGCGCCATGCTCAACCTAGGCAGGGCCGGGCAGGAGGGCCTAGCGGAGGCGGAGTGAGGGTCGGAGGGCGCGCGTGGCTTGGCTTACGGTCTGAGACGCAGCGGCCTAACGCCGGCTGCTCTGGATAGCGGCGCCTCCTCCCAACCAGGACCAGGAGCGCGGGCGTTCTCCCGCCGCTCCTCGAGCGCGTCTTCCCGCTAGCGCCCGCACCAGTGGTGGGCCTGGCCCAGGGCACGGTGGAGGCGTGTTTTTTTCTCCAACACCCCGCGCCTCCTCGTTAAATCAGCCAGTCACCTTTTGCCCTTCTCCAGAGGGAAAAGCATCGCCGCTGTTCTGGAAAAGGGCCCCGGCGTCCTCTTGCACTGAACCGGGCGATTGCCGTGCCGTTCGTGAGCCCTGGACGGGGAGATGCATCTGGCTTTGGCGGGGCGGGGGGGCATCGCTTATTGACAATTTGGAGAATTGGCCTCAGCAGTTAATGCTCTCGTCAAGTGTGCAGGAGTTGTAAGGTTATAGAAGTAAAACAAATATTGCCCACAGTTGTCAAAGCCGACAAGGTACAATACCCGCTGGTTTTGAGATCAGAAGCAGCTGCACTTCCTAGGTCCGTACCCCAAAGAGCTTCAAAAACGGAGGGGCTTCGGAAGTAGGATGCAGCCTGCATTATGCCAGTATCAGAGTTACAGTTGTATTAACTGTGGAGGAGACATGTTTTGTTTCGGTGTTTTCCCCTCGTGTGTGTGTTGTGTGTGGTGTGTGTGTGTGTAGTGTATATATATATATTTTTCGAGACGGAGTTTCGGCTCTTGTTGCCCAGGCAACAGTGGCTCACCCCTGTAATCCGGCACTTTGGGTAGCAAGCAGGAGGAGCCCTGAAGCTATGGTTTGAGACCAGCTGGGGCCGCAACATAGTGAGACCCCATCTCTACAAAAATAAAAATAAAGCATAACTGAAGTCAGTGACAATATCAAGGTCTTTTTTTTTTTTTTTTTTTTGAGACGGAGTCTCGCTCTGCCGGCCCAGGCTGGAGGCAGTGGCCGGATCTCGGCTCACTGCAAGCTCCGCCTCCCGGTTTACGCCATTCTCCTGCCTCAGCTCCGACGAGCTGGGACTACAGGCGCCGCCACCTCGGCCCGGCTAGTTTTTTGTATTTTTAGTAAGAGACGGGGTTTCACCGTGTTAGCCAGGATGTCCGTCTTCGGCTCGTGGATGCGCCGCGTCGCGAAAAAAAATCCGTTGAATAATGCACCATATAAATACATCTATGAGAACAAGTCACGTGACTTTCTCCATGGATGCTGATGAAGTCTTTGGAAAAAAATTCAACACTCATTTATTATTATGGTTATTATTGTCAGAGATAGGGTCTTCCTATGTTGTGCAGGCTGGATCAAACTCCTGGGCTCAAGGGATCCTCCTCCCTCAGCCTCCTTAGTAGCTGGGGCTATAGGTATGCAACACCACACCCAGCTAATTTTGTATTTTTAGTAGAGACAGGGTTTCTCCCTGTTGGTCAGGCTGGTATTGAACTCCTGACCTCAGGCGATCCGCCCATCTCAGCCTCCCAAAGTGCTGGGATTACAGGGGTGAGCCACTGTTGCCTGGGCAACAAGAGCGAAACTCCGTCTCGAAAAAAATATATATATATACATACACACACACACACACACACACACACACACACGAGGGGAAAAACACCGAAACAAAACATGTCTCCCTCACAGTTAATACAACTGTAACTTCTGATACTGGCATAATGCAGGCTGCATCCTACTTCCTGGAAGCCCCTCCGTTTTGAAGCTCTTTGGGAGGTACGGACCTAGGAAGTGCAGCTGCTTCTGATCTCAAAACCAGCGGGGTATTGCTATTTTGCTTTACAACTGTGGCAATATTTGCTTTTACTTCTATAAACCTACAACTCCTGCACACTTGAGAGAGCATTTAACTGCTGAGCAATTTCTCAAATTTCAATAAGCGATGCCCGCCCCCCGCCCCCGCCAACAGCCAGAGCATCTCCTCCGTCCAGGGCTCACCGGAACGCACGGCAATCGCCCGGTCAGTGACAAGAGGACGCCGGGGCCCTTTTCCAGAACAGCGGCGATGCTTTTCCCTCTGGAGAAAGGGCAAAAAGGTTGACTGGCTGATTTTAAACAGAGAGGCCGCGGTGGTTGGAGAAAAAAACACGCCTCCACCGTGGACCCTGGGCCAGGCCCACACTGGTGCGGGCGCAGCGGGAAGACGCGCTCCGAGGAGCAGGCGGGGAGAACCCCCGCCTCCTGGTCCTGGTTGGGAGGAGGCGCCGCTTCCCCAGAGCAGCCGCGTTAGGCCGGCGCGTCTCAGACGTAGCCGAAGCCCACGGCAGCGCCCTCCGACCCTCACTCCGCCTCCCGCTAGGCCCTCCTGCCCGGCCCTGCCTAGGTTGAGCATGAGCGCCAGTTGAAGTGAAAACCCAGCTAGGAAGCGCCTGGAGAGCGCGCATTACGTATGGCGGCGCACCGTCTCGCACTTCCGCTTCCGGTTGCGCACCGCGTTAAGCGTAAGGGGGCCGAACCCCAGCGGCTTTGGAATGAGGATGATCTGAAGCGCAGAGAAGAGCTGGGGCAGCCTCTTCGACACGCGGACAGAAAAGTCCCGTTTTCTCGCATCCGGGATGGACCAGGATCCAGATCAATCTGTCGATATTGGGAACGACGCTGGCCAGGAAACCCAGAGCCAAAGGCCGGGTCGGAGGCGGGTACCGGCGCAGGGAGCGGGGCTTGCGTGGAGGCGTCACCCAAGGCTTGGACTGCAGGCAGCGGGATGCTCATCGGGTGCTCTTCTTTTTTTTTTTCTTTTTCAGTTTTTTGAGAGCGGGGTGCTCATCGAGTACTTTTCTTTTTTTCTTTTTCTTTTTAGTTTTTTGAGATAAGGCACCGGTCTGCCGCCTTGTCTGGAGTACAGTCGCGCGGTCATAGATCATTGCAGCCCGGAACTCCTGCGCTGAAGCGATCCTTCCGCCTCGGCCTCCGGAGTAGCTTGGACCACATTCGCGCCCATCACGCCCAGTCTAATTATCTTTTTCTAGACACCTCAGGTCTCACCATGTTCCCAGGCTGATCTCGAACTCTGAGCCTAAAGGATCCCCCCACTCGGCCTCCCGAGTAGCTTGGACCACAGGTGTGTGCCACCACACAGGCTAATTTATTTTTATTTTTATTTTTTTGTAGAGACGGTTGCTCTCTGTGTTACTCAGGCTGGTCTGGAACTCCTGGGGTCGAGTTGATCCTTCCACCTTGGCTTCCCAAAGTGCTGGGATTATAGGCCTGAGCCACCACCCTAGGGAAATTCTTTTCTGCAGGATTTTCTCCGTGTTTCTTTCAACCCTCGGCAGGGATATAAACGTATTTACAAAGATAAGCCCGCTGTAGTCCTAGGTACTGCGGAAGAATCGCTTGAGCCCAGGAGTTCGAGACCGGCGACACCCTGTTTAAAAGATTAACCTGATGGGGCTGGGGGCGGTGGCTCACGCCTGTAATCCCAACACTTCGGGAGGGCGAGGCGGGCGGTAACACCTTAGGTCAGGAGTTTGAGACCAGCCTGGCCAACATGCTGAAACCCCATCTCTACTAAAAATATTTTTTAAATAGCCGGGCGTGATGGTGGGCCCCTGTAATCCCAGCTACTTGGGAGGCTGAGGCAGGAGAATTGCTTGAACCTAGGAGACGGAGGTTGCAGTGAGCCAATACGGTTCTACTGTACTCCAGCCTGGGCGACAGAGCGAGACTCCGTCTCAAAAATAAATAAATAAATAAATAAAAAAGATTAACCTGTTAATCCATAAAATGATCTATGCCTCTGATACATTCAGTTCCTTCCTTAGGCCTTTAGTTTTGTTGCGATACAATTATCACAGCATACAACTAACCTGTTTAAAATATATTCTTTTTTTTGTATATTCATATATTTGTGCATCAATTATCACAATCAATTTTAGAACATTTTCATGACCACAAAAATAAACCCTAGCCATGATCACCCGATCCACTCATCCAGTCCCACTACCACCCCCAGAGTCCAAAGCAACAACTAATCTTTCTGTCTGTATAGATTGCTCCTGTAGATATTGCCTGTAGAATTAGAGTATAAAACGTGGGATTTGGCTTGTTTCGTTTATATTTTCAAGGTTCATGCAAGTAGCATGTATCAGTACTTAATTATTTTTACTAAATAAGATTCCATTGTATGGCTGTATCGTAACAACAGTTGTTGGATATTGGGTTTTCTCTCTCTTTTTTTTTTTTTTTTTTGGCTTTTATGGATAATACAGGACATCTTTTAAGCAGTGGTCAAAGGAAACTTCATATTCCTAAACACTTTTGTCAATAAA